TTTAACTCAATTTATTTATATGTTATATAATTTAAATTTAAGATCATTTTTATAAAAAAAAAATATATAATCACCAAATTGTTCGAGTAATTAGCTAGTGATCAATCAAAATTTTTTTAAGAAAAGAAAAAGAAAAAAGTTACTACAGAATATGTTGGGCATCTAATATATATATTTGAAAATAATCCTTTTTTTTTAAATACCTCACAATCCGTTCTAATATTTAGATTTAAGACTTCTAATTTTAAATTTTAAATTCTTATTAATTAATACAATCCCTACAAGCACCCAGTTTGTCAGACAGACAATTGTATTGAATCAAACAGATCCCTATAGAATTATTTGTGTTTACCGATGTAAGTTAGATTATTATTTGGTTTTAGTGGATAATAGCATGTGACTTAATTAGAATGGAGATTTATTTTGATGGGAAATAATTTTTGGATAATCTTTTTGTATTGTATTTTGATACAATTAACATATCATTTAAATTATTGATATTTTTTTATTTATATGAGATCCATGATATTAAAAGTATTTACTCATTTAATGACACGTGAAAATTATATGAAAATGTGATATAAAAAAATTATTTTTATAGTACCACATTATTTTTATTTTATTAATTAAAATTTAATTTGTTTTTTAAAAATATTTTTTTATAAATCCTTAATTTGATATAAATAATCCATTTTTAATCAAATTAAAAAAATTAGTTTTAAGGTTAATGTAAATTAACTTGGAATACCCTGAGCTAAAAAAACAAATAGTGAATAATGGAATATTGGTGTCAAGACTATAGAATGCATCATCATGGAGTTTTTTTAGTTTTTTTGGACATATGACATATCGCACGTCATGGATTATTAATTAATTTTTTTTTATAGTCATTAATTAATTGATTAATTAAGTTGTTAATGGGCATAAAGCATTGAAAATCCAATATAATAGAGAAGAAAAATGATGATTGACAGCAATGGTGACAGTAGTGAGGGACAACGGCGAGCCAAAATTGCGACCATGGCTGCCATGATGCGGTCCCCTATGGCCACAACAGGTGATGTGTTCATGTTCTTAATATGTCCCTCCCAACGCAACCAATTTTGTTGAGTATCTCTTAATCCTTTCGCTGAATATGTTATACTCTTGGTGCTGATTCCTTTTATTATTATTTTTTAATATTCCCTGTTAACTACCCAGATGTTATGTTATTCAAGTTCAAGGCATTTTGTTTCGAACACTCAAGTCTGTTATTTAGGGAGCTTCTTTTATTTTAGCGTTTTTGAAAACAGCTCTTAATTGTTGCTCTAAGGGAACACGTTTGATACTTTGGATTATCATTCCATTGGAATGTCATCAAGACAAAAATGGAAGACTTCTACTTTCAAATGAAAAAGAGAGAGGTTATTATAGAATTGAAAAAGTTCAATGTAATTTGAATTCTTTCATATTTTACTATATTAACTATTAGAAAAAGGTGAATCTTTTTTGAGGATATCCCCAGCCAATTACAACATACCATGTTAGTAAATTTTTTCATCTCAGTAATGGATACTATAAAAAAAATTATTCACATGACTAATGAGTTAGAAAAAAGGTGATAATGTGACATACTGTGATTTGCTGAGAATACTGTTGACATGATATCCTTGAAATATAACAGATATTCTCCTTTCTCATTTAATATTTCTTATTTTACAATTTGGTATAATATAGATCGTAATAGAAAGTTTTGCTATATAATATAGTCTCTCTCTCTCTCTTTTTTGATTGGGCAACCACTTGCCCTATCAAGTGGATACAACATTCATATGCCATGTTTAGTTTAGTTGGTAAGGAACAACAAGGGACTAATAGTTAATATTCTATGGTTGGTAGTTAATTTTATCTAAAATTTAAATACTCTTATCCATTTGATTAGAAAAAATAACTATTAATTATTTTTTAACGTAACAACTAGATTAAATAGACCAATAGTCATATGGTACAAAAGGTCTCCCACCCTTTTTTGTTTCTTTTTTTTTTTTGTCTTAAAATGTTTATTTTTATTTTTTATCTTAAATTAAATAATTAGTGGCAATTATCTTACCTTTTAACTCATCTTACTGGCATGTTAGCAACTTAAATTTAAAATTTCTTATTTTTAATAAAAAAATTACTACTATGTTAGTTACATCGTTTGACCTAAAATGTGTATTTTGTTCACAAAAATGGTATGAGATTCTGAATCGTTGGGTCTATTTAGCGTAACTGCAGTTACTGGGCTTACTGGGCTTAATTTGACGGTGCAGTGTTGTTCAAGGTGTGGACTGTTGAGCCCGCTTAGAAATAGTTGTTCGATTCTAAATGATAGATAGCAATAGGCAGGTCTTCTTTACCAAGCCCATTTTAGCCTGACCCAGAACGTTAAGAATTAATTTCTAAGGCTTGGGTTGGGTCGCTTTTCTTGGCGTTAGCCCATATTTCTATCCGTCTC